TTTATTTTCTTCTTATTTTTTTTAATCTTTTTTTTTTTTTTTTGTATTTTTTTACTCTTTTTTCCTTTCTATCGAAAAACAGGGAAAAAAAGCTGACTGGTCTGCGTCCCAAACCACCCGACTCCCCACACGGGATCGGTTTGGGTTCGTGTTCTACTCGCAGCCGAGAACCAATGGCTTCATCTCTCTCTCATCACCGACCTCAAGAAGGCCTGCAAGGAGGTCTTCCCCGTCGCCGAATACGCCTACACCACAATCCCCACCTATCCCTCCGGCCAGATCGGGTTCATGGTCTGCTGCAAGGACCCCAACCGCAATGTCCGCGAGCCCGTCCGCACCTGGTCCCGCGAGGAGGAGGAGCGTCTGTGCCGCTACTACAACCAGGACATTCACCGGGCCAGCTTCGTTCTACCCAACTTTGCCCGCAAGGCTCTGGATGCGTGAATCAAAATTACGCTTAGCATGTAAATGTAATCTCAATGAAAATGATGTTCTTTATGATATCGAGTTTTTTTTTGGGTTTGTTGTATATTCTCTAAGAGGTATTCACACTAACTACTACTCAGGGGTGCTAAGAACGGCGACTATATTAAGTTGACGTAAATTTTATTTTGATCCTCTAAATCTAGAAGAGTTCACCAACAACCATGGGGAGATAGGACCGATAAGAATATTTAAAGTAACAGGAATTCGTCGAACCGTAAACATGACACTAAGAAAGGAAATCCATCATGACGCTAACGCAAGACGACTACAGAATCTGCTCAAAGGCACGGTTGATGGGCGAGCGCACGGGCTGGCCCTTGTAGAAGTCGATGGTAGCAAGGGCACGCTTGCTGATGCCCTCGGGAGTGAACTCGAATTTCTAAGCAAAGAACAAGTCAGTACTGGCTTTTTCTTTTATCAGGTGGTAATTTGAAGTAAAGTCTTACCTTGTAGACCTCCTTGTAGGGGCCCGAGGCACCGAAGCGGTTGAGACCGAACTGCTCGTGAGAGTAGCGCTCCCAACCCATGGTGGACAGAGCCTCAACTGACATGACGGGGATGCCGTCGGGAAGGACCTTGAGTCTGTATTCCTTGGGCTGAGCATCGAAAATCTCGAAGCAAGGAACGGAGACGACACGGGCGACGACGTTGTGCTTCTCCTTGAGGTAGGTGGCGGCCTCGATACAGATGCTGACCTCGGAACCGGTGGAGATGAGGGTGACGGCGGCGTTGGGGGCCTCGACGACGGGGTAGGCACCCTTCAGAGCAGCCTCGATGGTCGAGTTCTCGAGCTGAGGCAGGTTCTGACGAGTGAGAGCGAGGACGCTAGGAGTGTGCTTGGCGGTGATGGCGGAGTAGTAGGCGGCGCTGGTCTCGTTGCCGTCGGCAGGACGCCAGACCATGCAGTTAGGGAGGGCACGGAAGTGGGCCAGAGTTTCAATAGGCTGGTGGGTAGGACCGTCCTCACCCAGACCGATGGAGTCGTGGGTAGCAATGTGAATGACGCGAACGCGGGAGAGGGCGGACAGACGAAGAGCACCGGCGGCATAGGAGACAAAGTTGAGGAAAGTACCACCGGCGGGGATGATGGTGCCGTAGGCAGCGAGACCGTTCATGACAGCAGCCATGGCGTGCTCACGCACACCGTAGCGGATGTAGCGACCGGACCACTCACCAATGCCGTAGACAGGGGGCTGGAAGTCGACAGCGTTCTTCCAGCGGGTGTTGTTGGAGCCGGTCAAATCAGCGGAACCGGACATGAGTTCAGGGATAACATCGTGGATCTTCTCGAGGACAGCCTCAGACAGCTTACGAGAGGCGACGGCAGCGTCGCTGGGCTTGTAGGTGGGAAGGCTCTTCTCCCAGCCCTCAGGAAGCTTGCCGGAGAGACGGCGGACAAGGTCGGCGTGCTCAGCCTTGTACTCGGTGGCATACTTCTCGAGGAGCTGGTTCCAGGCCTGCTCCTTAGCAGCGCCCTCGGCGGCGTGCTTGTGGTAGAGGTCGTAGACCTGCTGAGGAACGACGAAGCTCTGCTTGGGGTCGAAGCCGAACTTCTGCTTGACACTCTCGCAGTCATCGGCCTTGAGAGGGTTACCGTGAACACCACCGGTACCCTGGAGCTTGGAACCGAAACCAATGGTAGTCGTGAGGCGGATGACAGTGGGCTTGTCGGTGACCTTCTTAGCCTCGTGAATGGCGGCCTCGATGCCCTCGAGGTCGTGGTCACCATCCTTGACCCACACGGTGTGCCAGCCGTAGGCCTCGAAACGCTTCATGACATCTTCGGTGAAAGCACACTTGGTGTCGCCGTCTACATAAAATCACCACAATTAGTAATTGAGCTATCAAGCTTACTTACTTTCTGTAAAAACTTACCGATGGAAATGTGGTTGTCATCATAAATAGCAATCAGGTTGCCGAGCTTCAAGTGACCAGCCATGGAGGCAGCCTCGCTGGCAATACCCTCCATAGCACAGCCGTCACCGAAGAAGCAGTATGTGTGGTTGTTGACAAGATCATAGCCCGGCTTGTTGAAGACGGCGGCGGTGTGAGCCTGAGCAATGGCCAGACCAACAGCATTGGCGAAACCCTGGCCCAGAGGACCAGTGGTGACCTCAACACCAGGGGTGTCGTGAGCCTCGGGGTGACCGGGAGTGATGCTATCAAGTTGCTACGCAGGATTAGAAAAAGCTCCGTTTCTTGATACTCACGGACAAACATACTCTGAAGTTCTTCAGGTCGTCAATGGTAACATTGTAACCGAAGAGGTGGAGGAGAGCGTATTGGAGCATGCAACCGTGGCCGTTCCTGGTGAAGAGCATTAGCAATTGAGATCTTCCATCCTAGGCCGAGGGAGCTTACGAGAGAACGAAACGATCCCGGTTCAGCCAGTTGGGGTTCTTGGGGTTGAAGTTCATGAACTTGTTGAAGAGGACGTGGGCCACAGGGGCCATGCCCATGGGGGCGCCGGGGTGACCGGAGTTGGCCTTGAAGGTGGCATCGACCTGAATGAGTGATTAGCACGCTGCTTCAATGAATTGCTTTCCATGCCATGAAGATGGAGCTGAGATATGGCTTTTTGATTGAGGAAAAACAGCCGTCATCCGAGCTTGTCCTCGACACTGAGGGGGATGTTCCGCGACCAGCTGTTGATTACACTTGGATGACAGCAGCATCTCAACCGTCACCACCACCATCGAATCGGGTATTGTAGAGGCATGACGATATGAAAAGGGAACCAGATAGAGCATACCGCAAGAACACGGATCGTGTTGACAGCCAATTGATCCAATTCGGTGTAACCCATGATTGCTAACTTCTTTTCTGGAATGTTAGATGATGTAAATGAGAGAGGGGAGACGGGGAGACGGGGAGAAAAGGGAGGGAGATGGTACTTATTCAACAAACTTTCTTCTAAAAATCTTTAGGAAGAAGAGGGTTTCAGGAGAAAGCGTGCGAGAGAGAGGAGTAAGAAAAGGTTGCGAGAGGGGAGTAGTGTGCTACAGTGGTTGCTTACTACGGACGGACAGACAGGTTGGAGGGGACGAGACAAGGTGGGGGGAAGGAAATGATGTCGGCGGTGGGGCAGCAACTCACCGAATGCTCGATTGACGTTGTTGGGATGGTCAGGATTCCGTAGGATTTGGGTTTGCCGACTTACATGATTTGCTATAAAAGTCGGCCATGATGTAGATATAACCTGCCAATTGACATGGAATAGAACACAGCTTCAATCTCTGTGTCCATACCTTGTGCTGTGCTGACTGGTGAGCTGTCGAAGTGCCGATGTACTCTGCAGCAGTCCCCCACTACAGCTATCACCGTCTATACCTCAGGCATCCTCTCTCCCGCGGAGTTTTGCCAGTTTTACGCATGCAGAGTCAGCATTTAGCATAATAGCAAAAAATTACCATATGCTTACTCCTGTCATCCTTATCATATCAATATCAATCTTGAACCTTAGGGTCAATGAAGAAATCTTCAGGTCAATAATTGCCGTTGACTACTCAGACTCAAGCGTCAAGACCCCTCGAAGCATACCTAAGGTAGGTAGGAGTACTGACATTAGCCGACGCCGATCGGCGGGCAACTGAATTTCACCCCAGGAGGAATATTTGCCAATGCTTCCCCTCCGTGGAAACCGATACCCTCAAACTTCCACAGCAAAAAAGCAATAATGCCGACATAGCAGCGCTTCACAGTACTCCGTGAGCGAGTCTATGTCTTGACAGTATTCCGTAGTAGTTACTTATTAGTAACCGACACCGTCCAGACCTCCATGTTCACCATCAATGCTGGGTCCGGAGGACGCTACTCCGATTTATTCTACGCAGTACTCCATAATTTTTCCATGAATTCAAGACCAGAGATGCGACGGGTAAATAGGTAGATAGCTAACTATACGGCTGGTCTGCTAATGGTGAAAAATTTTGAATTTTTTGTTCGCATTTCGGCTATCATGCTCGACAATTATCCATCTTCTGCTTCTAGATATCTACTTCAGTTGTCAGTTTCAAATGTGACTGTATGACTTTGCCAGTTGTCACATGCAAGTAGATTTAGCCACCGCATGTATAGAACAGCATCATTGGTTTGGAGAACACCTAATATAAATGACATATATATGGTAAAATATGACCTTAACACCAAGAACATTTCAAAATTCACCTAAGATGACGAAACAGATGTCTGCTCAACAGACTCATAAACCTTAAAACTCCAGAGACAATAGGTATCATGGCGAAAAGAAAGATATAAAAGAAATTCGCCTCCCTGATCGCGCCCAGATAGCCCAAGTTCATACAAAATCCCTCATGGTGTTAGAAAGCATAACAAGTCTCAGACGGCCAGCCGTCGGTCCCAGCCGTGAGTCATTCCAAATTCATCAAGTTCGTCTTCCACTGCCGGAATCATGATGCCCCGGAATGGATCCAAATCGTCCAGAGGCAGCTGTAGGTCATGGTATGGCAGCCCATCTTCGGCACTCATGCTCTCCTCGGAGAAACTGAGGACGCTCTGCGGCGCCGGGTTTACCTCGTGGCTCGGCACCATGTCGCTGCTGCTGCTCGCCGACCACGCTTCGGGTGACAGACCCGGAACATCCTTTGTCGACGCAGACGGCGGCATGGGACTCTGGTCCGCTTGATGAGGGTACCCCGCAGTCAAAGACGCAAATGGACCACTGTCCTCACCACATTCTTTGCCCCCGTAGATGCCGGTAAAGATGTTCGAATAACCGTGATCCATGTCACTCAGAACAAATTCCCAGTCCGCCATGCTCATCGCACCAGCGGCGGCATTCGAGGGAGCCGAGCTCGACATGGTCTGTGTGTGCTCATGTGCCATAGACGGCGATGTGTAGTAAGCCCTATTCATGGCCTGTTGTGGGGCGGGATAGTGTTCTGATGGCAAGCTAGCCCGACTGGAAGATCGAATATGACGGTGAGAGGCACCAACAC